GAGTCAGGTTGGTCGGATACCTGATCAATTATTTTCCTGCCGATGACCTTCTTATGTTTCACCGGTCGCAGTGCATGTACATGTACTACTTGCTCGGTTACCAAGTGTTCCAGAGGAGCGATTTGAGCTTGGAAACCAAGGAGAACATGGTGAACAACACTTACTTACTGGCTCTGGACGGAGACATCGAGTTCCAGCCTAGAGCTGTGTTACTTCTGGTGGATTTGATGAAGAAGAACAAGAATTTGGGAGCAGCGTGTGGCAGGATTCATCCCATTGGCACTGATGGAGCTGGAGGTCATTAAAGTCGAATCTTGAGAGGAGTTCCGAATATGCAACGATTTTGTTTTTACTTATTTTTAGGCTTGTTGGTGTGGTACCAGCAATTCGAGTATGCCGTGGGTCATTGGTTTCAGAAGGCTACTGAGCATGTCATTGGATGCGTGCTTTGCAGTCCTGGTTGTTTCTCTATGTTTCGCGGCGCCGCATTGCTTAGTAATAACGTGATGAAAACTTACACCACGAAGTCTGAAGTTGCCCGTCACTTCGTTCAGTATGATCAAGGTGAGTTACTGTTTCATTTCTGGGGATGTTTTTTTTTCGATTTTTCGAGTACTGCAGATTATGTGTCTTCCGCTGTTCTAATTTCACTCTGCTCTCGTAAATGATTTCTTTCGTGTTTCGAAATTTTGTTGGAACGATTTTCAGCATTATGACTTTTATCTTATCACGGAAAATGCAGAGGCTTTGATATTGTGGCTTGAAAAAAATTGATGGGACTTTTTTGCATGCAAAGTTTCTCGCGGGATTTTCTGGCCTAAGAAAAACTTATTTTGACGATTGCTTTGTATCGAAATTTTTTGACGAGTGCCTATATTTTTAATAATAGGCGAAGACAGATGGCTGTGCACGTTGATGCTTCAACAAGGCTGGAAAGTCGAGTATTCTGCTGCAAGCGATTCTTACACCCATTGCCCCGAAGGATTCAATGAATTCTACAATCAGAGAAGACGATGGGTTCCATCAACCATGGCTAACATTTTGGACTTGCTAGCGGACTACAAGCAAACTGTTAAGAACAATGACAACATTTCCATGCCCTACATCTTGTATCAGGTACGTTTTTTGAAATGAAAGATTGTGAGGAAAAAAAGGGGTGTGACCCAAAGGCGGGGATAAAATTTTCTAGAATTGTTTAAATTTGGGTGCGCGTGAAACTTGAAAAATAGTGGAACATTTGAAAAAAAAAAACATTTTTTTTAATCAAAGCAATGTAAATCAAAACAATTAATTGAATTCGGGTTGAATTCGTGTTAAAATTTTAATTCTGGTATCCCTTATTTTTGAAACGTTGTAGTTTTGCAGTTGCTAAAAATGGCGTGCCTGTCTTACTCGGGGATAGGATGTAAAAATTTTGGGATGAAAAATTCGGGTGCGTGTCTTACTCAAGATACTTGAGTAAATTCTGCTGTTTTTGAATTACGCTCTGACGAGGTAAAGATAAGTGAAGGCATTCATTGAACGTACCATTTTTCAGATGCTGTTGATGATCGGAACAATCCTGGGTCCTGGAACGATTTTTATGATGATGACTGGTGCTTTCAACGCAGCATTCAAAATT